CTGCCGAGGCCCATAGTTAGTCAGACCTGATCTCTTCATGATATGTCACATAGCAAATGACAAAAAACATAAATAACCAGTTTTGTTCCCGGTTTGTTTTTCCTCTAGCTTAATACAAAACCAGTACCACTTTGAAGTGACAGGGATTTTTAAAGTGATCAGAACAGAACAATCCTTTTATTAGACAATATTTGTAAGTTCAGTTAGGAATATAAATACTCTTTTCCAATCCAAAGAATGCAACTGCAAAAATATAATAATAGAATTATTAGAGGAAAACACCAGGAACAAAAATTAGTATTTTTGTTTCATTTGTTCTGTGACATATCAAGAAGAGATGGGGTCTGAGTAACTGCTGGGCTTCCTGTTTTCAAATCTGTGAGAGCAGCCCTTGTTTGTATACTTCTGTCTTCCCAGTAACACTCAGGAGAGTCTAGGGAACATCCTGAAATCATCTCAAGGCTTTTACAGACTGCCAGAAATAATGCAGCTTGAGGCCACTAACTGTCCTGGCTCAGTGCTAAGGAATCATGGGAACTGTAGTTTATTGTGGCACCAGAGCTCTCTGACAGAGAAGGCTCAATGTCCCAGAAAAAAATACAGTTCCCGTGATCCCCTAGCACTGAGCCAAGACAGTTAAAGTGGCCTCAAGCTGCATTATTTCTGGCAGTCTGTAAAGGCCCCCAGTCCCTAGTAGAGCCTTATTTAAAGATTTGAAGCATCTTCTCATATTCCACCTTACAGTAGAAACCAGAGGTGGGAACTTTCTGCCCTTCTCACTTTGACATTATAATTCTCTTGTCTGAGATGAAGGGTTCTGAAGAACTCAAAGGTCTGCACAGTATTTTGTAATTGCTGAGTTTAAAAGGTTAACTCAAAGCCTAATAAACGATAGCATGGATTATGTGGTACGAGTTTCACATCAGAAGTCAAAGAGGTAAGTGCTGTAGTTTTTATTAGAAAGAGTAGCAGCACTAGAACATGCAAAAGTCAGTGAGCTAGTGGTTATGAGAAGGTAGGACCAGTAGAGCTCCTATGTGCTTTACTACTATTCCAGAGGCAGTCACTTAGCTGTCCTAGGTGAGTGGCAAAGTAAAATGACTCTATACCAATTCAAAGTTTTCATTTTATCTTACTCAGAGCTACCTTTGTCTCATTTCAGGAACATCTAACCCTGTGTTTGGATTTGCAAAGCCACATGCCCGAATGTGGTACATCAGCTATTTTTCCAAGTGTTGGCAAACAGTATTACTGGTAGTATTGTATAGAAATTCAATTTAGGCTCCTGTAGACCAGCCAACAACTTTGGGATTTTGTAAAGGTTGTACCTGTATTTATTGGGGTTTATCAAAAACTAAAGGCAGGTACAATGTACTTCCTATCCCAGTCTATTTCTTGTGATTTTTTTGAGACTACTGTAATTATGACTTTTTAATCAGGTTGGGATGTGTATGTCTGTTTCTAGTACTATCAGAATACATATAAAATGTCTGTATCCATTGTCGTGGTTCCTTCGGTACCTCTGGCCAGTCCCCTTGATGACAATGGGTTCAGTGGATTTGTGACCTGTGCTATGGAGCTTTTCTTTTTAACATCCTTCCCTCATTCAGTTTCTAGTTACCAGGCAAACTCTGCTCTGTACTAGATCCAGAGTACCATTTTTCCTTTATTTAGGTCTAAGCAGACTGTCAGAAATAGCGCACATTAAATTGAGGTGCTGCCCTGGCTCAGAGCTAGGGAATCATGGGAACTGTACTTTTTTCTGGGACATTGAGCCTTCTCTGTCAGAGAGCTCTGGGGCCACAATAAATTACAGTTCCCATGATTCCCTAGCACTGAGCCAGGGCAGTGCCTCAATTTAATGTGCACTATTTCTGGCAGTCTGCAAAGGCCCTTTGTCTTTGGTCTAATCAGCACTGCAGAAATAATGCAGTTTAACATTGCTTTAACTGCCATGGGTCAATGCTATGGAATTCTAGGTCAATGGTTTAACTGCCATGGGTCAATGCTGTGGTAGTTTTGTGAGCTATTTAGCCTTCTCTGCCAGAGAGCTCTGGTGTCGCAACAAACTGCAAATGCCATTATTCCATAGCATTGGGCCATGGCAATTAAAGCGGTATGCTACATTATTTCTGCAGTGCAGATTAGACTTTTCGTGTGCCCCCCCCCTTCTGTTTTTCTTACCTCTATGGAATTACAAGGAGTGAAATCTTGTAACAGAATATCCCAACTCTTACCAGAATTATTGGTCCATCTGAAGGAACTCTTAATGGTGAATTTAAGGTGTCTGACTTCTTTTTTTTTTAATTAATTCCCAGAATGGTTTTTTACCCAATGTGTTTAAAGTGATGTCTCATCGACCAGCAGAATTCAGAGCATTCTTTGCTTATTACAATGCCATCATGAACAAGGAGTCAGGTAAGAACAGCAACCAGATTTGGAGTATAGACTGAAAAAATGTCTTTCCTAATATTTTAATAATCCACTGGTGTCTGATAGTATTCCACTGCCATTACCGAAGGTGAATGAGCACTTTTAAGTACAACTACTAATCTTCCTTGATTCTGCCAGCAGGAACAATTAAGAGAAAACCGTAACTGCCATTATGTTACAATCTTGCCACATGTTGCATTAGTTATCTTGGTACAAAAGAAACCTATCTTCCAAAATTCATAGTTTGTGCTTTCTTGACACTTTGTATGATGTATTCCAGTGGTTCACTAGTTCTGGAGACCACTGTCTTTCTATGACCATAGTGAAAACAAGAGGTTTCCTTGACGTTTCCTGCACATGCCAAAGCAGCAAGGCACTTTCCAGTATAAAAATTAAAATGAAAATAAGAAAATGCTTGTCTTTTTGGAACTGGCACATTAGGGACTTCAAAGACATGTCCTTCCTTTACACTTCCACTTGAGCACATGGATCCCCACATGCATGCAAATAATGTAATTATCGATGCCATGGGTTTGGATAACAAATGTAAGAGCTGAGTTTTAATTCTGAAAGCCTTTGAAGGGCCTTAAAGTTTCCTACAGAGAACAAGCAAGGCAAAGGGATAATGTAGTACAATGGTAAAATGTAAATAATGGCAATGTGAATGCTGGGTATGACCCTGGAGTAAATTCAGATAGAGGAGATGTATTAATTAATTATAGATTATAGATAATGAATGACCATCAGGCAAAACCTATCACATGGTTTTCTTGCCAAGATGTATTCAGAGGGGGTTTGCCCTTACTCTGAGGCAGAGAGAGTGTGACTTGCCATAAATCACCCAGTGGGTTTCCATGGCTGAGCAGGGATTCAAACCCTGATCACCTGAAGTCATAGCCCAGCACTCAAACCACTAGATCATTCTGGCTTTCTCATTATAAATTTGTTGTTGTGTGCCTTCAAGTCATTTCTGACTTATGGCAACCCTGAGGCAAACCTGTAATGGGTTTGTGGGTTTTTTTGGCAAGTTTCTTCAGAGGTGGTTTGCCATGGCCATCCTCTGCGGTGGAGAGAGTGTAACATGACCAAGGTCACCCAGTGGGTTTCCATGGCTGAGCAGGGATTTGAACCCTAAACTCCAGAGTCATAGTCCAATACTCAAACCACTATGCTATATTGGCTCTAATTATAGATGTATTTCCTTTCTTTCCTAAAGATCCCAGAATAGGTAACAACAATGTTAAAATAAGCAGCAGTAAAATACAGTAAATACAAATGAATAAAAACCAAAGAACAGTCAATAAAAATCAGCAGTGAGATTCACTATTGTAGCAACAATCATAAATGCCCAGGTGAATGGATGAGTCTTCACTTGTCACTGAAATACCAATAAAATTGGTGCAGCACATTCATCTTGTGAGAGGGCATTCCAAAATCAGGGTGCCACAGCAGAGACACCTTCCTGGTGTTCCCTGATGATGGGATTGAAATGGGCCCTCCACCCCACCCCAAATCTATAAGCATAGGCAGGCTGGTACAGGGAGGTGTCCCTCCAGATATCTGGGGTCCAAGTCTTTTAGGACTTTTTAGGTCAGCATCTTGAATTCAGCCCAGGAAAAGCTAGCATGCACATATTCCACAAATTGTAATTTCTGAATTGTCTTTAAAGGCAGCTCCAGTAATCTAAACATGAAGTTGCTAGAGCATGGCCACAATAGGTAATCTAGCTCTGCCCAAGATCAGCTGTAGGAAATTAAACCAGCAAAAATACTCTGTGCCACTGAGTCCACCTTCCTGTTCCACTGGGATTGCTCAGTTAAGGAGTACACCTAGAGTACATACCTGCTCTTTTATGGGCTGCACAGCTCATCTAGACAAAGTTGTCTACTCAGTACCCAAACCTGAGAACCATCCACCAGCAGGACATATATCTAATCAGATTAATTTCATTTGCCCTTGTCCAAATTATTACTACTTCTAGGCCTTTTATTCATTTGTATTTACTGTCCAGCACCTTCACAGCCTCACAGAGCTCAGAACATCATGGGAAGAAATACATGAGTATACTGCTGACACTTTACCAGAAAGTTGCCCTGATGAGCAGCTTCATATAGATCTTAAAGAGCATGTGAGTGTGTAAGCCTATGAATGTATAGACAAACTGTGAGACTAAGAATGTGACTTGACCTTTACATCTCTGTTCTCTCATAGGCAACCTAAGCAAGGCTGACAAGGAGCTCATAATTGTGGCTACGAGTATTGTCAACAAGTGTCCCTACTGTGTAGTTGCACATAGTGCTTTGCATCGGATATATTCGAAGAATCCTGCTCTGGCAGATCAGGTCACTTCGCTTTCTTTCTTTCTTTTTTTTTTTTTTTTTTTTTTGAGATATAAGGTTCTATTTTATTTTTTATTTTTACTTCTTTACTGCTTTATAACCAGCAAATAACCAGTTATGCAAGAAATAACTGCCACCACCCTGCTGAATTCCATTGGTGCAACAGCAACAAAAAGTATTGTGATATGGCTATACAACAAGATAGACAGAGTATCTCCTCAAAGCTAAGCAACTTTGAAAATGACCCACACACTCCAAATGCATAACATATAATATGGAATTATCTGTTAACTGCATAATTCATGGCTTACATCTTATGTTTTTAAGCTGTCCGCATATCACTGAGAGAACACATCAATATCTTGATTAGTTTGTACTGCATGAATGGATGAATGCATTTAGATAATTTTTGCAAGAACTCAAAGATATAGCTGTGTTAGGGCCTTTACAGACTGCCAGAAATAATGAAACTTGAGTCAACTTTAACTGCCCTGGCTCTGTGCTAGGGAATCATGGGAACTGTAGTTTACTGTGGCACCAGAGCTCTCTAACAGAGAAGGCTCAATTTCTCAGAAAAAAAACTACAATTCCCATGATTCCCTAGCACTGAGCCAGGGCAGTTAAAGTCAACTCAAGTTGCATTATTTCTGGCAGTCTGTAAAGGCCCTAAGTCTGGAAAATCAGTCTGCAAAGGGATCTTGTAGCACTTTCGAGCCTAATTGAAAGAAACAAGCTGGTAGCATGACCTTTCATAGACTTCAGTCTACTTCCTCAGATGCATTTGGTGGAGTGGAAAGCCCAGGGACAGACCTATATAGCAGTCTATGAGAGTGTCCGTAGGAATGCAAACCTTTTGTGCATGTGGAGATGAGGTGACAAGAGCTGCTACCCAAATTATCTTCAAGCCCACTTGGGCGAGTGTGACTTGTCAAACCATCATTCTGTAAGACTGAGGTGATGAACCTGCCCTAATTCCCTTTTCTATATCAGCTACATGGGAGCTCTTTACTTCTCTGCCTGTGGTCAACCTGTTCAGAAACTAGATGCAATGCACTGTGGCTCATGTTAATGTTCCCTAATCCTTGCTGTAAGAGTCGGTCTTCTTTGTGTGTGGTCTCATATGCTCTATATTTGGCCAAGTGTTGTGTTTCCTAGGTTTAAGATGTAATATGCTGTAGCTTTGCTTTTGTGCAGGTCATGGTGAATTGGAAGATGGCTGACCTCAGTGCTCGAGAGCTGGCCATGCTTGAATTTGCACTTGCTGTATGTCGAGCAGAGAATATCACTGAAGAACACTTTCAGAAGTTGGAGGATCAGGGATTTGACCAAGAAGATGCCTGGGATATAGGCATCATTTCAGCCTTCTTTGCCATGTCAAATCGCATAGCTCATTTCACAGACATGCATCCAAACCCAGAATTCTTCACCATGGGAAGAGTACCAAGAGAAAAAGAAAAGACCAAATCCTCCTAACAAAGCCCGCTGGCACCCAGATCTTTGTAATGATATTGGGCTCCCAACATGGAGGCCAAACTTGGTTCATTATGGTATAGAGGCCACAAGGACAAAAATGAAAAGGCATTTGATGCAAGCAAGAGGGAAGTCCGCTTGCTTAGTTTTCAGCAGTACTTATGAAGAGATTTTCCAGTAAAGTCTCAGCTGAAATGAGGTACTCTGAATACATGACAAGATCAGACATTGGCTGCTGAGCTTCTTTTGATTGTAATCAGTAATGCACTTTGCTTTATCAATAACTACAGAATTTATACATTCATAACACCTTTTGTTTCTGGTTAATCCAGTTGGCCCAGCCACTTATCTGTTACAGTAAATCTTTTATTGGCCAAATTTGGAGAAGATTTTTACTCAAGCACTGGAAAATATATTTAGAAATACTCTTTCTCATTTCCTCCGCAAGTAGATGCCTGCTTGATTGTTGCTGAGATAACAATAATCTGTTTTAAATTTTAATCAAGCTCACTGTTTTATTGTATGGCTTTTAACATATTTTATTGTATGTGTTTACATTTTGTTTTGTTTCTTTTAAAACTGTCCTGGGAATACAATGAAGGGTGGTATAAAAATAAATAGGTATATAATCTCTGCTCTGTTCGTCTTCTTGCAAATCTTTCCTGAAGCATTTCCATCAGCATGATCCCAAACCGTAAAGACAGTGAAACAAAACAGATATGAAGGTTTTCTTAAGGCTGGCATTCCAGAGCTCCATTAAATTATCTTAAAGTCTACATATTTGCATATGTAAGAATTCACTTGTAAGAAAAAGTGAATATGCAACCTTTTCATTTTAAAATTACATTCTTGTCCAATATATTGAATGATACATGTGCAAAAACTAATTTTAGTTGTCAGCTAAATCCATACAAAACATCACCATCACAGCCCCAATAGAATGTACTATATAAACTTTTATCCTCACATCTGCCCTAATCCTACCGATAATTTATTGAATTCTCAGTTTCGCATTAGGTTGGGATGGGATTGTAATACCTGCCCATTGTGCACAAGTAAAGGAGACTTGGACTACCTACAGGTACTACATGCATAATATGTTCCATTCTTCAATTCACAGTCTCAAATCTTGCATTTTTCATCAAACACTAGTAAAGTCAACTTTATTGAATATCACAGTCCCTGTACAGCTGAGATGTTACTAGTCAAATCCTCCTAGAGTAGGCTATTGATGTTACAGATAGTGAATGAATATGGCCTTTGTTTCTTTGAATAAGTCTATATTCAGCTGCAATGTGAAAGTAATTTAGCCTTTCTTTGCAGAAGATTCCATAAAATGCTTCTTTAGCTGCATTCTATACTAGGCTACTAAGTATGTTAAACAAAAATCAAATACATAACAGAATTAGTGTGTTTAGTAGACTTACTAAAGACTTTGAGAACAGTTTATTCCTCCTCAGCAGCCTAGTGGTTTGCTGTTTGCTATGAGAGAAACCAGAAACACAAGGCTAACAAGATTTGGGTAAGTAATAAAGAGGCCATCCATACACTGTCAGCCCACTGCAGGGTGACCAGAAGTCCTCCTTTTCCAGGACATGTCCTACATTTCAACCTTCTGTCCATGAGGAATTTCAAAGTGTCCTCCATATTAGTGTTTTAAGTTTTTATTTGGTCATGTCCTAATTTTTTCTCAAATAAAATTATTTTAGATTTTATGGTGCCTTGTCCTCATTTATGTTTAAGACATCTGGTCACCCTGGCTCACTGAGAGCCCTTGTGATGGAGTGAGGTTTAAGAAAAGTGAGTTTGCAGTTCTGCCTTTTGGAAACAGAGCATCTTAGTTGCAAGGGGTTTTAAGGACTGTTTCCCATTGTCTTTTTAGACAGTTTTAGGTTTCCCAACCTCCTTTCTTGTATACTTGGGGAGGAGGGAGGGAGGCATGGATTGCACACATAGTACATGGTTGCCCTATTTCTAATTCACTCATCTTTAATGTTTCCATTTCGTAATACAGCCAGGATACCTCAAAGATCCTGACACTTAAGGGCCCTTAAAATGATCACCCAGAAAAGAACAGATGACAGGGACTGTGGCCCTATTTTACCATTTGGACCAGTATGGGCATAGTGTGGTCCACCAGAGCTGATACTTCTAACTGCAGCATCTCTTCATATTTAAAAGAAGTATAAAAAACACAATAATGCTAGGAAAGGTAGAAGGTAGAAGAAAAAGAGGAAGACCACAGACCAGATGGATAGACCGATCAGGGGGGTTATTGGGAAGGGCTTGCAGGATCTGGGCAAGGCAATGGAAGATAAGGATTCTTGGAGATGTCTCATCCACAGGGTCGCCATGAGTAGGAACTGACTCAA